GAGCAGGGAGCCCGATGTGGGACTCGATCCCGGGACTCCAGGATCATGACCTGAGCCGAAGGCAGTTGCTTAACCAACTGAGCCACCCAGGCGCCCGAACATGGCAATATATCTTTAACACCCATGTCCCACTTTCAGTAAATTTGTCTGCCAATACCAGAAGCTTTTGGAGCATGTTAATCATTTATTTTGATAATGATGGCGGCTTAGTATTATAATAATAACTAATATTTGTGAAGTAAATAATATTTAATAAGTAACAAGTGTTTCATATACATTATACACAAGAATTTAATCTTCTAAATTTAATCTTTTAAATTATCTGCAGAGATGATCTTTTTAAGCTCATTAAACAGATGCAGAAATTAGTATTTTGAGAAATTAGGTAATTTGGGAAAAGTCATAAAGACAGGAAGAAGCAAGTTGAGAGGTGAATGCAAGTCTGACTAAACCCATGCTCTGAGACACTGCAATATACTATAACGCCTCTTTTTTATTTACCTGGCATTACTGAGAAATCAGCCACTTCATATTAAGAAAAAATTTTAAGTGAAATTTATTTCTTTTACTTTGAGACTTTCTAAATATTGGAATTTAAAATTTCAGATCCAGTTTTACTTCTTAAAAAAGTTTTTGTCCTCATTGAAGACTGTTACTGTTTCTCCCTAATCGTCCCAAGTGCTCACTGTCTTGTTTATTATCATTTTTTTTAAGATTTATTTATTTGAGAGAGAGAGAGAGTGTGTGTGGGGGGGGCAGGGGGAGGAGCAGAGGGAGAGGGAGAGAATCTCAAGCAGACTCCCTGAGATCATGACGTGAGCCAAAACCAAGAGTCAGATGTTTAACCAACTGTACCACCTAGGCACCCCTCACTGTCTTATTCTGACCTCTGATAGGATACGCTCCTGGAAATCTTAAGAAACAAGTTTAGAAACTGCAAGTAAAATGAAATAAATAAGCTACAGGTGATGATTTGTATAGTACGTGGCTTGGTTATAGTTATGTGGCCACTTGATTCATTTTTGTTCTATGTTCCAGAAAGTTGAGGATACTAGTAACTTAATGTAGACACCATTATCCAAATGGGTCATGTATGTCATTAAATCACCCACTTATTAGAAGCATAATACGTTCCAATTAAATTATTGTTTTTGAATTAAAAGCAAGTATTTTTTCAAATTCTCAATTCTTTCTTTACAAACAAATGAAACATCCCTTATCAGTGAGTCCAAGGACATCTGGCTCATGCACAGCTATGTGTTTTCTAAATTACCATGCCCATTATGTGCCAGACACTATGCCACCTGCATTCCTCATTTAATTTTCACGACTCTCTAAGGTTAAGTACTATTATTTCCATTTCAAGCTCAAAGAAGCTGAAGCTCAGAGAGGTCAGGAACTTGCCCAAGACCACACAGTGAGCATATAAATAGAGATTCAAAGCTGGGTGACTCTGCTTCCATTATGCATGGTACTCTGCTTTGCATTAATGCCGCCTCTGACAGTGATCCCAGGACCATTTGTCCTCCCGGTAACAGGTTAGAGCAGGGGCCAGCAAACTCCGGCCAGGACTCTGTGCCTATTTCTGTAAAGTTTCACTGGAGCACAGCCACACCCATTTGCTTAAGTCTGTTGCTGCTTCTGCGCTGCAGCGACAGGCCTGAGAAATTACAACAGGGATCAGAGAGCTTGCACAGCCTAGAACATTCATTATCTGACACTTTTCAGGAAAAATTAGCTGGCCCCCGGTCTAGAACAACACTTCTCAATTGTGCATCAGAATCACCTGGAGAGCTTCGTAAAGTACAGATCACTGGGTCCCACTCCCAGAGTTTCTGATTCAGAAGGTCTGGAGTGGAGATGAGACTATGCATGGCTAATAAGCTCCAAGGTGATGCTGATGTGATTGCCTGGGAATTAATTGCCCTTGGAGAACCCTGGGTCTAAAAGTAGTTATAGATGATCCTGTCCAATCTTCCATCTCTTGTAATGAAGAAGGACACAGGAGGCAGACCTTACTCCTCATCGCTGCTTGTACCCTCTGGTCATGTGACTCTGCACATGCTAAAACTTCTCCGAAGAAGAAAGGATAAGGAAATACAAAGATAATGAGATAGAGAATTGGGTACCAGGAAGTAAGAGCGAGGATACAATGTTACAAAAGTACATTAACATTTCTTTTTAACTCACAAAAAAAAACCCCTGATGAACAGGAATATGAGAGTAGATTCAAATTTCAGGCATATATCTTTATCTGTTCTCCATCCTTGAAATAAGACAAGTGAAATGATGCCCAACACTTTCACAAGCATTTACTATGAAACAATGATTGTAATTCGGTATTAATGTAATAATGTCTAATTTTGATATAATATGTGAAGTGAATGAAATTAAGGTTAAGGTACAGTTTTAAATATTAACCTTTATAGTACAAAACTGGATAAAACAGGCTAATACCTTTAGAATAATCTTCTGAATTGCAATTTTGGAACTTTTATACTCCAAACAGTGCTGTGGTAACATCGTTTGCCAACCAAACTTATCTCTTAGCCTTATAATATGTCTTGTGACATCATCATCCTCTGGTTCTGGTTTAGAACATTAAAAAAAAGATCTAATGTAAATGTGAGTACAGGCATCACTTAAGGGTAATGTATAATATTCCAAATATTTCTACATAGAGAAAAAATTTAAATGGAAAGTTATACTTAAAGTTTACACAAAGACTATATAATTAGACAAGAAAGTACAGCTTAAAATTTAATTTTAACAGAAGCTGGAAAAAAGGAATAATATTTTTTCCATTTAAAAAAGATATTTCAAAAGACCTAATTCCACAGTTACACAGGTAGCTGGCATGAGAAGACACTCGAACAGGAGCCAGTTAGATGGGGTGGAAGAGTAGGATCAGGAAAGAAGTGATGACCATGCAAGGTGGAAATATTCTTCCTAAAGATTCTCATGCAATAGACTCTTCCCTCCCTCCTTCCCTCCCTCCCTCCTTCCTTCCTTTCTTCCTTCCAAGTAGGCTCCACACCCAGCTTGGAGCCCAGGGCGGGGCTTGAACTCACAACCCTGAGATCAAGACCTGAGCTGAGATCAAGAGTTGGACGCTTAACTGAGTGAGCCACCTAGGTGCTCCTGAGACCGTCTTTCTTGATCTCTTAGCAGCTAATGATTATCTCCTTGAAACATTCCCTTTTCTTACCTTTTATTCACCATGCTCTACAGTTTGTCCTCAGCCCTTCTGCTTTTCTTGATAAAACAAATCACGGGAAGAGAAGCAACCCAGAAACCCTGCTGGCAAAACCAGCAATGCTATGAAGTTGTTCAAGATTTCTGGTTCTCTAGATCACCAACTGATCAAAACAGCTTTCTTAACTCAGGACTAAATAGGACGTGAACTGTTGTATAAAACAATGTCAGGACCAGGATATGGTCCTACACAACCCTAAGAGTAAATTCTTCTTCTAACCTTGTGCCCTAGGCACCTCACCTGTCTCACCCTAGTCTGGGCCCTCTCAGTTGCTTAAACAGGAGAGAAGTTTAAAATACTTAATTGAGAAGAAAGCCAGTTAGTATTAGGTATAGAAGAGAGAAGGGGTGGGGCTGACACTAGCATAAGGGATGGCACAAGGTGTTTATGTCCAGCTGAGCGGGAAGCCATACATCCTAGGCTATAACAATGCACATCTATCGAAATCAGCTTCCTATGCTGACAGCATAGGAAAACAGATCGGCAAAACAATTAGAGACCAGAGATAGGACCACTTACGAAAGACAATCTAGTAAGTGAAAAAGGTATTTCAATCAGGAGAGCAATCATTAACTTCATAAATCATAATGGGAAAGTGGTTAGACATTTAGAAAACTATGCAGTTATATGCAAGCATAAATTATAGAAGGATTATAGAAGTAAATGTGGAAAAGGAATTACAGAAATATTAGAAGAAAATATATGGTCCTGAAAAAGAATCAAAGCATGTTAAAAAAAATAATAAATTTGACTTCTTCAAACTTGGCAATTTATACAGCAGAAAAGCCACCGTAATTATCAAGTTAGGATAAAATGTTTATAACCTACATAAGAAGCTAGGGATTAACATATCAAATATTTAAAGAGTTCTTCCCAATAAGAAATAAACATTTTGATAGAAAGGTGAATGATTTATTGGAAAAGACAAATGGCCAGTAAACATACCAAAAAATATTCAACCCCATTAGTAATCAGAAAATAATAAATTAAAATTACAACGAAAAAGCCATTCTCACCCACCAGACTTGCAAAAAATTAAGTTAGAAAATATCAACTGCTGACCACGGTATTCCTCTTATGCAATATTGCAAAAGCATAAATTAACACATCCATTCTTGGTGGCGACCCGGCATATTTAATGAACTGATAGAGACCACTGGAGAATGGAAGCGATTTAGGACAAATTTAAAATAACGATTTTTTGGAATAAGTAGTAAACTTAAAGAAAATATGTATCCTCCAAAATGCTGGGGGGAAATTTTTCTAAAAAGCCAGATTAATTCAGAAAATCATAGATAGGGATGCCTGGGTGGCTCAGTTGTTTAAGCGTCTGCCTTCAGCTCAGGTCGTGATCCCAGGGTCGTAAGGTCAGTCCTTGCTCAGCAGGGAGCCTGCTTCTCCCTCTGCCTCTGCTGCTCCCCCCGTTTGTGTTCTCTCTCTCTGACAAATAAATAAATCTTAAAAAAAGAAAGAAAATCACAGATATTTACTAAAATGAGACAATCCATTATACACCTAGCATGGCAGGGTGAAGCACTGTCCTAGCATGCTGAGTGTATGGTATGATCCAAGACAGCAATTCTTTATATCAGAACTACGAGGAGACTAGCCTGTATTCCACTTTCACAGTGAGTCAAGAATACAGGTACCAGAAGTAAGGTCAGGAAATTGCAACTTTCAAGAGAAAAAAACCATGAAAAAAAAAGAGAGGGAGAACGGCGTAACACAACCATTCTGTTATAGACACAATAAAACCTCATCAGTGAGCGCTGGGCTGAGCTTCTAGTGCCCTCACCTTCTAATCTTATAGCCTTGAAGAAGCACTATCACCGGACAGAAACTTCAACAGGAGTAACAGTGAAGACAGTGCTTAATGAAGAGTTCCGGCATTTAAGGGTAAAATCACATATCTTTAGAATGAAAATAAAACCGTTCTTTTAAGAAGTTTAAGAAAGGCCCCTGGGTGGCTCAGGCGGTTAAGCGTCTGACTAGTGATTTCAGCTCAGGTCATGATCTCAGGGTCATGAGATGGAGCCCACGTCAGGTTCTGCAGTGGGCATGGAGTCTGTGTGGGATTCTTTCTCTTCCTCTGCCCCTTCCCCCACTCTTTCTCTCTCTCTCAAAAAAAAAAAAAAAAAAGGTTTAAAACAGAACTTCTGCTGCCTTGGAGTTTAGAATGTAAGTAATTATATTATTCCACCATGTGAATGTGTCCTCATAATGAAAGATAACATATAGAAATTGTCAAATGAGCCATGCTGCTAGTAAGTACTGTGTTAACTCCAAGGAGAGGATCACTGCAGACTAGGGACCTCACTGAGAGCTTTATAGAAGTCTCATAAAAATGGATCTTGACATAAGACTTGAGAGGGTTAAAAAGAGAAAAGAGGACATTCTAGACAAAGAGTCATCTTAAAAGAAAGAGAGAAAGAGTAAATTCCAAAAGCACACATCAACATGAGTGATCTCAAAAGGACAGGTTACAAAAGGACACAATAAAACATCATGTATGTGCATATTTTAAAGCTTTTACTGAAGTATAACATACACACAGAAAAGTACACATATCATTTATAGACATACAGCTTGATGCATTTTCAGACATTAATATACCCTGGAACCAGCACTGGAACAATCAAGAAAAAAAGCATCACTAGGCCTCCTGAAGTCTGCCTTGAAACCCTGCCCAGTTCCTATTCCCACTTCAGCCCATGCCCACAGAAGTCACCAGTATCCTGCTTTCTAAGAGTAGAGGCCAATTTTTCCTAGTGTTTACTTTCTATAAGTAGAATCACACCACATGTATTTTTCTCTATCTAGCTTATTCTGGTCAATATGGTGTGTGCACTTCTGCATACACAAAATAATGCCATATGTTTTATGGATGCATTAGGTATCTATTGATGTGTGAGCAACTGTCCTAAAATCTAGAGGTTAAAACAAGTATTTATTATCTCACAGTTTCTATGGGTCAGGAGTTCAGTTTCCCATGAGGCTGCAAGCAAAATGCTGAAGGCTTTCCTGGGGCTGGAGGACCCCTTCCCCGGTCAGCTCCCTCACGTGGCGATGCGCAGGAGGTCTAGCACTTTCTCCAGTGGACCTCTCTGCAGGGCTGCGTACGTGTGTCACAGGACCCCGGCGGCCCCTAGAGAGCGCGCAGGAGACAGGATCTCTATGTCTGTCCTGACTTAGTCCTGGAAGGCACAGAGCATCACTCCACCATGTTCTACTCTGTACAACTGCAAACTACCACGTCCACTGTATTATTGGTTAGAACTGAGTCACTAAATTGGGCCTTCATTTAAAGGGAGAAGTGCAAGGCTCCAGGGCTTTAGAAGGAAGGAGTGTCAAAACCTATGTGACAAATTTTTAAACTCCCTCAATGGACAAATATAAATGTAGACAATACATAAAAGCATCCATGGAAAGGACAGTCGCCCATGTGAGTGTGACTGTCAGCTGGCCCAAGTGGAACTGAGGACAGCGGCAGAAAGGGGAGGGCCTTGAGCTACTTGTTTACCACTTTACTTCCGTACTTGCTTTCTGCCGCCATATAACAAATTACCGCAAACTGGGGGTTTATGACCCCCCAATTTCCAGGGGTCGGGTATCTAGCAAATTTTAGCTGGTCCTCTGCTCAGGGTCTCACAGGGCTGACATGAACGTGTTGGCTGACAATGCCCTCATCCGGAGACATGGCTAGGGAAAGAACTGCCTCCAAGCTCCCCTGGATTGTTGGCAGAAGTCATTTCTTGGGGACTGCGTGCCTGGCTAACAGTTGACCGGGCACTACTGTCGGCCACGAGAGTCTGCTTTGGGGTCCTTGCCCCAGGGCCCTCTCCACAGCATGGCAGTCTGCCCCTTCAAAGGCAGCAGCGTGGCATCCACTACTGCTCTGGTCTTTTTTAAAGGCTCATCAGATTAGGGCAGGCTCACCCAGGAAAATCTCCTTTTACATCCCCATTGCATCTCAAAAATGCCACACAGACTGACCTAGTCCTAGGAGCAAAGCTCCATCAAACTCCCAGCTGCTGTCTGCACTTGCCGGGAGGGGGGTTTTGCGCCACTGGAGGCATTTATAATAGTGAAGATCTTTTTTAAAAACATGAAGGCTATTTAGGTTTCAATAGCTTTATGACTAATCTGCCTCGGACCACAGTGTATCAGTGAAACACAGAAAAGTTTCCCTTTTCCTGTCAAACTTAAGATATTAATACAAATAAGAATTTCAGGTATAGAGAAAGTACAAACTGGAAAGCCTGAGTGAGGAAAATCAGTTTAAATGAATTATTTATTTGGGAATTTAAACTCTGTGTCAGACAAAGACACAAAAGAATTAAATATAATGAGACCACAAAGTTTTACTAAAAGGATAAAACAAAGCCATACAACTGTATTTCCAATTCTATAACCATAACCTTCAGAGATTGTTCCTACTTAAGAACATAGTCAGGGTACAGACTCTGCCAATTTTTCAGTCTACCGATATTTTAGATTTTCAAAAAGATTTAAAAAAACTAACAGTTCTTTAAGCAACCAAACATAAAATTCAATAAGACTGTTTCTTCTAAAGTCAAATACATAAAACCACAAAATTATCTGAAAAAAATGTCACGTCTTCTGAAAAGCCTGGGTTGGTGATACTACGCACCTGTTGTATCATATGACACAAGCCTTTTTTTCTTAACCTTTGGACAAGCGTGAGTTTGATCCTTTTTTCCCTTTGATTTCTCTTTCTTCTTATGAGAATCGGGTTTTGAAGGATTTTGCTGAGTTCCAATTTTTTGGAAGTAATCTGAAAAGAAAAGCATTATTAACTGAGTAACCAGCAAGAGCTATAAATAATACCATGGCAATTCCACATGCCAGGCCATACGGTGGATCAGGATACAACTTCAGTTTTTAAGAGCACAGGCTGTGAGTCAGACCGCCTGTATTCCAAGCAGTTAGAAGCTTTGCCACTCAGTGCTGTGATTTACTTTTTAAGTAACCCATCCGCCTTTCTTTACCCAGCTGTGAAACGAGGACTGTTAAAGTGAGAACCTCACAGAGTGTTAAAAGGAAGTTTAAAGCATATAGTAGGGGATGCCTGGTGGCTCAGTCGGTTAGGCGTCTGCCTTCGGCTCAGGTCATGATCTCAGGGTCCTGGGATCAAGCCCCACATCAGGCTCCCTGCTCATCGGGGAGTCTGCTTCTCCCTCTCCCTCCGCCCCCTGCTCATGCTCTCTGTCTCTCTCCCAAACAAATAAATAAAATCTTTTTTTAAAAAAAGCACACAGTAAGTGCTTACAAAGATAAATATTAATTTTATCATAATAAATCTTTAAAATGTGAAAAACATAACAGAAGCTTTTTATTACTATAGTTTGATAACTGAGGTCAGAAAATGCTTAGAAATGCAGAAAAGTCACATACAGCCTATTTCTCAGATTCCTTCTATGACTTACCTGATTGGTGGATTCTCAGCATGAAGAATGGGGAAATTATTGAAAATGCAGTTTTTCAAAAGCAATTAATTTTACACTTTCTCATTGATTTAAGGAAGATTTATGTAGCGTACAGCACTGAGCTACAATTAAGTAGGGGGTAAGACACAATAATTACAAACAAAACAAGTACAAGCGAAACAGCCAGTATATTCTATTTCAGCCAATAATCATAACTGAGAGGAGACACAAACGGAGGGATAGAGAAAGAACATGTCCCTATTTGTATAATCAAGAGACCACACACCCATCTTGCTCCATGGAATCAAACACTGAATGATGGTAAGGTTTTTACTTGCAGGTGGGGTACAGAGAAAGGTAAGAAAACGGAAGTCTTGTTCAGGAGACCGCACGACGAAATATGGACTCCGGTGGAAAGTATGTGAGAGAAACATGCAAACCTCCCTTTCTCCCTGACGGCTACTCCAAGAGCTTCTCCCGCTCACTCCCAGGCCTGAATGGGAGCCTGGTGATTTCCCAGACCTCACCAACATGCAGGCCTCTCAAGCAGGGGTTATTGATAAGCCAGCACCCCAAATGCCTCGATATCCGAAAGTGGGCTTGTTTCTCTCCCTGTTCCCGTTCACCACTTCCAAATCCTTACAAATTGCCCTCTCAAAAAAAAAAAAAAAACACTCCCCCAGAGCTCATGCCTTCCCACAACCTCAGACCCTTCCAGGCTTCGCTGGCTTCCGCCCCCGGCATGGCCGCTCAGTGACTGGAGCCCTGGCTCAGGGAGGGCCTACTGTCCCAGGAGTAAACCCCCTGGTTTACTCTAGTGGCTGACACCACACCCCCGCCCGACTCTCTAAACACCCTCTCCTCTCTAGTCCGCGTCAGCCGACCTCTCCCAGCCTGCTCGGAACTCCCGACGTCACCACTTTTCTTGACCTCATCGGCACCTCCAGTTCACAGCCCCATGACTTACTACCCATCATCCCTCTGCTGCTTTTCATCTTGCTCTTGACCCCGCTGAAATTATGTTGTCTTTCAACAACACTCTTGCCAGTAGCCTCAACGCTCACCCTTGATCTCATCTCCGAGGCAGAACAGCGGCCCTGGAAGAAGCCAACTCTATGCTCAGTGTGCCTATGTCTGCATAGCTCGGTGCTGTTACACGAAGGCCCAAACACGAGTGGACTGGTAACTTTCGAAATCCACGTTAATGAATCACAAATGGCCCCTGAATACTCATCTGAAATCCTACTGTTTGCCTGGCTCACTTGCCCGCCTGGCTTTGCAAAGGCTAGCTCAGATGCCCCTCAAAGCCCTGCACCTTCACCTTCCAATCGCTCTCCTTCAACGGATCTCCATGCCTACTTCCCAGGGCACACAGATGCACCAGACGGGAATTCCTTCAACGCGCCTGTGCTAAGTAAGCCAACGAACCCACCCCTGCACCGTCCTTTCGTCCTGCCCCTCTGACTTCATAGGGGAGCTGTTTCTCCTTCCATCCAAACCAATCCTTTCTGCCCTTCCATTGGACCCCATCCCCTCATGCCTGCATTAACTATTCTCCTTTGCGGATCAAGCTCCCACCATAAAGCTCGAGCTGCCACCAAGCTTCACCTATTCCGAGACCACATTTCCCTCTAGTTGGTGAGCTCTCTCACCTTTCTTCACAAACTTCTCAAAAGAGTTGCATGTATTCACTATTCTATTTTTTCATCTACTCCTACTTCTTAATCTATTCTAGTTGAGTTTTGGACCTCCACTTAAATAGCATTCAAGTGACCACATCCTTCGTGTCAGTAAATTCAATGGGCATTTTCAGTCCTCATTTGACTATTACTACTTTCTTTTTTTTTTTTTATTCTTATGTTAATCCCCATACATTACATCATTAGTTCTAGATGAAGTGTTCCATGATTCATTGTTTGTGCATAACA